TTAAACTACCTGAAGGTGGGTGTGGCCATAGGCTACCTCCTCTCATGAGGATGCATTTATCATGCCAATCAATCAGTTTATAACGCATGGCCTTGTGGGAGTTATTGACTTTAAGTTGCGTGCACAATTTATTAATTAACGCTTGTTTTTCCTTCTCACCTTCTCGCTAAATTTGTCCACGTGCACGTTTTGTTGTTGTTGTTTTTGAAACCCCCTGCAATTATTCTCTATTCAAGCAAAAGTAGCATATTAAAGGAGGAATCCGGTGCAATCTGGCAACACCCGAGGACAGCCAGGCTCGTCCCGACCCACACACACATGCCCTCGTTGAGAGAAAAACACTTTCGCGAGACATTTATCCACTTTTCACGCGCGTCCCGAGCACACCGGGTGGCACGCGACCACGTTACCTGTCGAGCCGCCGTCGACGTTCAATCCGAAGCGCTTTTGTTTGACGGTAAATCGCTATCCTCGCTCGGCCGTCCGCTCGCCCTCGTTTCCTCGCTGTTTAACTGAAGCCTGAAAAAAAAGCGATAACAGAAAGCGAGGCAGCCAGACCGCCTCCACGCGCGCTCCCGACACAAGAGCGCGCGGCGCGTTCACGTGCAGCTGATGCTGTTGGTTTTGTGTGTGTGTGTGTGTGTGTGTGTGTGTGTGTGGAGGGGGAGGATGGGATGGGATGGGATGGGACGAGATGGGGGTGGAAGTTGGAGTCATTCGAGTTGCTACATTTGGCTCTTTTGAGTGACTAGTCTTGTGAGTCAGTTCAGCTCAAAAAGATTTGTTCACTGATTCGTTCGCCTTGATTGTGACCACTCCGACTGACCCAGCGTTCACACTAGCAAGCTACAAGTCGCTTGAATCGACTGGAAAGGCACAAATATACCACACTATCACCACACGTACATACACACACAGCTGCTACATGAGCAGCATTGCTCACATACACACTATCTTATGTGCGTCTGGAGGATTAAATGCTCATCTATTTACGGCCGAACATCTGTCCATCTGGTTTCCAGGTCGAACCGTAATGTTTAGCGGTTTCCTGCAGAGCGACGTTAAACACGCGTTAAACCCGTTTCTCTGTAAAACTTTCTGCTGTGGTCGTGATGGTTGTCATGATCTGCGGCTCAAATTGTAAACTCCAGAAGTGTGGTACACAAAACACACCTGTCAGGAGGTTTACGAGGTTTTTAAAATTCAGACACACACTGTAACTGAAAAACCATTAATCAATAACTGTCCAGAATAGTACGTAAGTGTGCGATTTGAGACACAACGTTGATTTTTTCCTTTTTTAGTACTGATTAGTAATGGTTGTACCCAAAATATAAATACTTCCAAAGCTAACTACACAAATCTAAACACAACTTAAATAACACACCAGTGAACTCGGCTCCTTCCTTTCAAGCTTTATTTTTCACTGTAATATTTCTACACATTTAATAATAATTTGTATGTGACAATAAGATTACTCCATGATTATGCCTTTTTCCTCCATTTCTGTTAATCAAACAGTAACTGCAGGTAGGAACTAAACTTCTGAGTGGAGACCTAAAGAAACGTCGCACCAGGCCGTTCGGATTTGTCGTTTGTGAAAACTGCGAACGCTGGTGACAAGATGGCCTTCGATGTTGTCCGTGATGCATAATGCTTGCTTGATGGATGAAAACTGTGTCATTTTGGTGCTAATGTCATCATTTTCAGCACAGAACGAACCTTTCTGGCACTGATGGAACCTCATCATTTTTGGCAGAAATAAAATGTCATCAGTTTCCGACCCTGATGGAACCGCATCCAGTTCAGCCCAGATGGAACGGCATAATTTTTTGGCACGGACGGAACCTCATCATTCTCAGCACAAAACGTTGTCATTTTTGGCACTGATAGAAAATTGACAATTTTTGGCACAGATGGAATGTCACAGTTCATATGTATGATGCAAACCCTGATCCCAGATCAGGACTCATGCTCGAAGAAGCTCGGCGGCTGGAGAAATGTGTCTAATTAAAAAAATGTGAAAGACAGAAGTCCTCACAGCATTGCTCCTTTCCAGGACTCAGTGATATTGTCTCTATATTTATCTGATCAGTCTGACACACATTTTTGGCACTGATGTCACTGTCAGTGTTGAGTCAGCGACCCAGCGAGTCATCAGACACCAACAACACACACTCTTTGGGGGGGGGAGAAGGAAGTCAGAGGAAAAAAAAGAACCATACAAAAAACACCAATACATTATTTTACCCAAATTGCATCACTGCTCCACCGATGTGTGTTTTGTGTTTTTTTTTTTTCTCATGAATATCTGCTATAATATCTATTACACACCCAACCTGTAGAATGCTTTTCCCCCTGAAGAGACTCCTGACTCTTATTTTCTCCCCCAAAAAAGGGCCCTTGTTTCATTTAAGATGCCCTCTGAGCAAGTTAAAAGAGAGACACAGCCAGATTAAAAACCCCAGCGCATAAATCTCCAGGGTTGTGTGTCTCAGAGCTCTCCTGGGGCAACTTGAACTTTACACGCTCACTTTAGAAGGTTCTAGAGCCTGAGGACAGGGGAACGTCCTATTCTTTATACCGGCTTTAACCACGAGAGTGAATTATTACATGCTTTAAATCATGTTGGCATTAATGAACAGGTGGGAAAGCAGAAGATTAAAGATACAGTTCAGCCAAAAATGAAATGTACATACTGTTGAATTCTCGACTGTGATTGGTCGGCAGGTGGTGATTCATTTTCTATAACAGCAGCTCTGACAGTAGTTTCGGCTACAAGGCAAATCACCGGTTTCTATTAATGCACGTGTTCTGATACGTTATTGTTTATGGAGTAACGGCTAATTCACAGGCACTTGTATGACAGACAATCCAAGTTTAATAACAAACAAATTTAAAAACATGCTGGTGAAATTTCTGTAAGAAGACGTTTATTTAACATTTAACATGAGTCTCCAGTGTCAGTGCTTCTTAGTAAAATGACAAGTTGTATTTTTTTTTCCTATTAACATCACAAGAAAGTGAGGGAACAACGGTTTATAGCTGATAACAGGACCTGACTTGTTTTTGCAGACATTCCACTACATTGAGCGTAACTATAAATAGTATGAACTGTCATTTTTTAATAATGAAAAAACGTAATCGTTGGTGTTATAAGAGGAATAAAATGCAATAATCTGCTACTATTGGAAGATATTCTGTTATTGGAAGTTATTCTACTTTGGTGTAGTCACAAAATATCTGTCCTATTCCTCTTATCTCCAGCGAAACTGGAGCCTAACAAACAGTAGCCTAACAAACCTTTTATCTGGCCTGTTCGCATACAGTAGGTGCCATTATATTTGCACATAATATGAATGTGAATATGTCCACTAGGTGGCATAAAATGAAGAAATAAATGAAAGTCACATTTCTTTGCACAAAGAAAGACCTATTTGGTGTTAACGAATATTAAGTAGGACACCACGTGTCAGTTATATTGGGTTCTTCAAACGGATGAAAGCTGTATTTTAGGGACCTCATGCACATGATAGGGGAGATTATATTAGTCTTTATTATTCTTTATTAATTCATTCAATTGCTCATCACTAAATCACAGATAACTCGCTAGACATGTAGAATCCTAAATAGTCCTTACACAAAGAAATAACAAATACATTGTATATGATAAAAATACATTACAATTGATAATAATGATATAATAAATACACTACCAATTAATATTTCATGATTAGTTGATTGAGGAGAAAAGAAGGCGCATTTAATTTATTTTAAATGGGTATTAAGTTAAGAATAAAACACTTAAGGGTGTGCTGTCATAGGAAAAGAATCAACGACAGGGTGGTGTGATGTTTCCTAAAACTCTTATACAACAGCAATTTGCAAATGCTAACTTTTTTTTTTTTATTAATTAAAGACCATGTATTTTATCCATTTATAGTTACATTTAATAATTGTCGAACATCCATGGAACAAGTTCATTCCCTCACCAGCCCCTCTATTTTCTCTCTCATGAAATTAATAAAACAAAAACAAACAAAAAAAAAATGCAGCTTCTCAT